TGTAAATAGGGTTTCCTCTAAGCTGCTAACATAGCTCTTACCAAGCGATCACTGCAGGAGAAGTCCTTTTTCTTCTTCCCTGGAGCCCAGTTTTCTGGTCTTCCTGCGGCATCTGAGCACAGATGTAAGTCACACACTGTGTGTGCATGTTTGTGCAGCTTGTATGTGATTGAGTTAATGCGTAGGTTAATTTAGGAAGGAGACGGGGGAGGGACTGAAGTTAGTTTAGTCTCCAAACTGCAGAACTTAGTAGGTAACGCGCAATTTAACAATGGATAAATGTTCAAAAATAGCCCGACATTTTCTTCTGTTTATGATGAACACAAGTTTGTGCTCTGTGACAACAGCTGGAATAAATGGACAAAAAAATAAGCAAACAGGAGAAAAAATAAAACATTAAATGTACTGGCACTTATATAACACTGTTCTAGTCTTCCTGACACTAAATGTGCCATACAAGTCCCACTTTAGATTTGTTTAGCACTTAATTCTATGCATTTCAAGCCCTGTGAATACCTCACATCTGTGGTCAGTTTTGAATCATAAGCTACCGTAGTATGCATGTCTATGGAAGAAGAAGGAGAGAACCAACACAGGCACAGGATGAACATGCGAAAACCTTCTCTGTGTGAGCTGACATTGCTTACCACTGCATCAAAGGAAAATGAATCGGTATTGAGTAGGTCAACAATTTAAATAAATATCTAAATCTATCTCTCTCTCTCACACACACACTCCTACTTGTTACTCAGTATTATTTCAGATTTCAGCATTTATACTCTTCACTGCTGGGCTCTAGATAACAGCCAGTCCTGCATTACGTATGGGCAGCTCACTGTGAAAAGAAGCTGGGATCACTCACCTCCAACATAAAAACTCTGCGTCATGTCAACAGTCACGTCATCGTTGGCCTGAGCGGGAAACATGCAAAAACATTCAAACTAAATAATAATATATCGTTAGCTTCATAGCATAAGTGCCTAAGTCATTTTTTTGTGTTTTGTGTTTCAGACGGACAGGATGATGCAGCAGTGGTAGGGGAGTAAAGTTAGGCAAAAATCTCAATTTGACCAAAAAATGACTTAGGCACTTATGCTATGAAGCTAACGATATGTTTTAATAAGGACTTGCTGAAACACAAGTATATGTTACACTCACATAAACACATTAAAATACATACACTCATTACACCATTGGATCGTTTTTAATGGTCCTGTTCATTAAAACTGTGTTTGTGGATCACATGACTTTTTAAAATGATTTCATAATCAAATCAAAGGATTTTTCATTTACTTTTTGTTGTCTTACTCTTCTTTGTCTGAAATGAGAAAAGATGAGTGCGGCTTCTATGACTCATCACATCTGTTAACTGCTTCTTTGTGCAGGCTGTGTCTGTGTAAACAACAGATGAGGTGTGGCTCTTAAGTGGGCGTGTGCGCCTTTTTCATGGATGTTACCTGGCATTTACCTTCTCACATAGGTGATTCCACATTCCCATGACTGGTTTCCTGTAAATACCAGGACCTGTTGCTACAAACACCTGAAACACAGACAGTGAGATCACCTATAAATAGTACTATAAACAATGGGAACCAGCTCATGCAGCATGACCAACCTGCACAGGCAGCTTCAGAGTGGCAAGGATGTCCTCCACTTTGGACTTGAACACTTCTGGTCTCAGTTTGCCTTTAGCAATCCCCAACTGGTTGGTGAAGAAGACCACCTGCAGGACGAGAGACAAACCCAGTGACAAATGCTGCCAGAGCAAATCAAATTTAACCTTGCAAAGGTACACTTTAGCATTAGCATCACATTAGCTTCTCCTCACCTTGTAACCTTTCTTGAGCAGGCTGGCTAGCTTGGGCTGAATCTCTGGGTACAAAATTCTGGTAATTGAACACAAACAAACCGTGAAAGTCTGACAAACAATCTGGAAATGAAACTACGAAAAAAAAAGAAAACACAGACACTTATTTGTAACTCCTAATAAAATCAAATAAAATGGAATGAGAAAGATGAACAGGAAAAGCTGAGGAGTGCAGACGTACTTCCAGTCGTCTGGTGCTGTGGGAAAGACTTTGCCAGACTTGGTGGTGATGATGCAGCCATCAATGTCAAACCCAGCGATCTGGAGTTAGAAGCGCCAAATTAGCCATATCTTTCACAAAACCTTGTGCATAACACATAAACCTGAATTTTAACATCTTTTTCATCTCCGAGTCAAGCTCATCTGCTCATGCAACTCTGGAGTGTAAGCCCACGACTGCACGCATCGTGAGCTCTGCAGTTCAAACAAACCTTAAACTCGTACAGGCAGCAAGCACAGACTCCTCTGACAAACTGACCCAAATTTCACATGAAGGATCATCGCTGGTGATGGCAGCCGGGCCTTTCACACAGCGAGACCAGGAGCATGCTCAGTGCCCCGTTCCCCTCCTCCCTGCACCCAGACCTCAATACCAAAATCTCTGCCCACTGCTCACCCCACACAGCATATTTGAATCCATGTGACACACTGGAGGTGATCCAGCAGTCACTGGACAGACACAAATCAAAGGGGACAGGATGGGAATTCCACTGAGAAATGTAAAAAAAAGAAGCAGCTGTGATGGAAGACCTCCAGAGGAGCCTGAGAAGATGATCTTGAAGGGGTAAATGGTCATGATTTTAATCAGGTAAGGCTTTTTTATTTTGATGGGTGCATTTTCTGACCTTTTGGATCCCAGTTCGCACAATAACAAAAAGAGTTGCTGATTAATTTTCTGAGAAGAGCTGAACATGATATGCTGCACAGTTTTTAGGTCTTTCGCTCATTTAAACGTTATATAAAACACTGCCTGTTGTAGATAAAGACTCCATATCTGCTGATCATCTGAATGAATCACTCCCCACCTTGTCACTCCCTTTGACACCAGCAGCTGTGTAAACCATTAAGCTGCCAAACTGCTGCCAGCTGCTCTTTAGACTTGGTTTTGAAGACGATGACGGCTGATTGCTGCTGCTCTCCTCTGTCAGGGACTTTTTGGCAAATTCCTGAAGGTACTTGAGCCGTTCGCCAGCCAGTCTCTCCTCCTCATCCTCCTCCTCTTTCATCTGCCAATCAGAAGCTTCCTCCTCTATTCTTTGGCGCTTCACCTCAGGTTGCTCTTTCTTTGGGCTCAGCTGCCTTTTAGATGACTAAATAACAAGGAACAAAACAGCAATTTCTCTCATTCTGGCTTCTCTTTATACATATGCTTGTAGACAGCTAGATCCATGAATCAATACATCACAGAGGTTTACCTTCATGGGAGAGCTGGGGAAGAAATCCTTTATGTTGCGTTTGGGTGTGGGACTGGACTGTGCCTCTTTTTCTTTTGAACTCGTCCCTCCTTTTGTCTTATCTGCTGCTTTCAGCCCTCTCTGTGCCGTGCTGGAGGTGATCCCATTGGAGCTTAGAGAGTAGTTCAGTGTGAATGGGTGGCTCTGGTTAACTAGGTAGAGAGTACCTCCGTGGCTGAGTTTACCAGACTGACCCCGGCCCAGCTTCTCACCATCCAAAGAACTGGGGTTGGGACCCAGCTGTGGAGAAATGGACATTGGACTGTAGCAGTTACAGTTAGCACATGAGCTGTGAGGTAACAAGAGTGGACAAAGAGGACAATGTGCTGACATCAGCTTTGAACATAATGACAAGCCGGTTGCTATGGATCAGGTGTAATTGCTTGGGGTTAAATATTAATTTGCGGTGATGTTGAAGGGAGTGTGCTCTAGTTTAATAGGCAGGGTCATTATTCTACTGTGGAGGCACCCAGTGTTTGTTCTTCATACCTGTGTAACAACAACATCCTGGTCTGCAAAGCAAGCCACCACCTTCACTGTAATAAATAAAAAGACACACACACATTTCGTATGTATACACATCTAGAGCTGGGACCAAAAAACTAAAAGAAGACAAAACAACAACTTTCTAACTCATTTTAATGCAGATTTTCCATTTAAATGCAGTTTTTATTTTGCAATATGAAAACTAAATGCATAAAAGAAATGCCTCGGCTAATTTTGAAAATTACCGTGTGCCATTACATACAGTACTGTGCAAAAAAGGTCTTGAGCCACCCATGTTGTCTTTATACTTTAACAGACTTGTTGGTTTTTTTAAAATAAGTCTTGAGTAATAGTCCTCCTGGATTTCTCAAGGTCTTCAAACTTTTCTTTGGACATTAGCTGCTTTTTCACTCATTTTCAATCCACTCCTTGTACCTGACCGTTTTCAGAGAGATGTTTTTTTTAATTTTGTTTTGTTTTATTTATTTATTTTTTTTAAGCCACTTAACACTGAACTAGTCAAGGAAGGAAGTAGTGTTGTGTCTTTAAATAAAAGTTAAAGAACCAATTCCAAACTGTGTTGCAAGAACACAGTCATTTGTTGCCATTTCTTTAATTGAACCTATGAGAAATATCAAAGATAACTCAGTCTGCCAGGCAAAAAACTGTATGTTTGCACCAATATGGTGATTCCCAAAAAACTATTGTAGGGCACATCTGGCCCCACTAAAACATTTATATACATACCTACTGATTTTCAAAGAGAAAAAAAGTACCAGCCTGGTTCTTTTTCTTGCTCTATTTGACTCCCCGTGGATGCAATTTTAAGCTCCTCACTTATTAAGTACATATATCTGTATGTAAAACTGTAACCAAAGTTCAGTCATCATGAGTTTAAATCCCTGTTAGTGACTTGTAGAGTGAATGCAAGACACTCAAAACACAAAACTCAGTCAGCCCCACTGATTTACTTTCTCACATAAATACATGAATGAATGAATTAAAGCTTACAGCCACATTAGCAGTATTTTCTTGCGTTGTACACTGTAAAGTAATTTACAGCTTTAGGATAGTTTGTTATAAAGTTAAGCTTAAGCAGAGCACGAGCACTAACAGCTTCGCAGATTTAAATCTAGAGTCTCGCGATAAATGTGACACATAAGCGGGACGCCTCACCCTGATGTCTGGAGCACTTCTTATCTGTGACACCAGTGTCCGGATCCCGGCCCAGAATCACAGCCCGTCCATCTTCCAGGGCGATCCGAGCTCCAGAGGCGCCAACCAGCGTGCAGGACATTCGAACAAGCGGCCACAGAGAGGTTGTTTGCCCCTTAATATGTTGTGTTTAAGAGTCTTTTTTAAGTCAAGCCAAAGTACAGGACATTAAACGGCCTCACGCAGTAGTGTTTAACATCATTACAACTTCAACTACCTCAATTTCTTTTCGTCTTCTAAAGAAAAACTTGAAGAATGTGTGTGAACTACAAACTACAGGGGTCTGATTTTGCAGCGTTGTCCCCGCGGTCCGACGCAAAAATAACTACGTTTAGCAACGTCGTCCCCGCGTGAGGTTCCGCTCAAAGTGTCGGTTACATGAGCAAAGTCGCGGTCAAGCTAGCAGGAGCTGAAATTATTTGGTTTCTTTTCTTTTCTTTTTTTGGAGGGGAAAGTCAGCATTGAAATAACTTTTAAAGTTTTTTTTTTAAATATACATATAATGCGTAATGTAATAATGATAATGTACAATCATTGTGGACTGCGCAATCACATGGTAAAAAAAACCCCCTACAGGATAAAGAAAACTATTCTGTTGGGTTTCTGAGTCATTCGGCACTGGTACCGTGTTATCAGAAAGAAAAGCGCAACAACATTCTAGGTGCCGCTGACTGAACCACAACATAATGTTTCCACTCTCTCGTTGTTGACACGTGTAATATAACAACAATGCATATTCATATTACTCTCCCTAGATGGAATAAGACGTTGTCATTTGTTGTCCATTGAAGGAGTTAAACATTTAACACATCAGTATTGGTGCGTCACTATTTTCCTTTTCAGGTCCTTTAATGGGCGAGACGGGAGAAAAAGATAATACGGAAATAAGACAAAGTAACACATTGTTCTGGTTACACTTTCAGCTAAAAGCTCATCTAAAGACTAATTTAGTGTGACGGACAAGTGATCACTATTTATTATGCAAACTTTAAGTCTAAAGCGGAACGACGAACGAATAAAGTGTAATCACGCTATGGTCATGCTGAAAGATGTAATACTTCGATATAATGCAAAACCCAGAGAATAAAAAAAACACCATATTCTGCTGTTTATTTTACCTCCAGAAAGTTCTGTGTTGTGCTTTTCATCATTCACAACTATTTACTAAAGATGACAGGAGGAGCAGGTTTCTCTACATACTCGTTTAGGGTGTATCAGCAGTGGCGGTCCTAGCCTGTTCGGCGCCCCCGGGCGAACACTCCCTCAGTATTCTGATTCTGACTCTGATTGTTTCAGGATGACCTGCCATTATCCAATGACACATCTGCTTACCTGTATCCTTTGCTCGTTTCTCTTCCTCTTCTTTTCTATTTTTTCTAAACTGAGCACCTGGTGGCTTTGAACTTTTCTTGTCCATCTTCCATTGGTTTTAATTTTGCACTCCAGTATGAACACAAATCCCCCAACTCGAGGATCGCCACAACATAACCTAATAGACCTACACCTTAGTTCACAGATTCACTTTGTCTAGGGTTTATTTCTGGGATTTCACACAACCCAGGATTCAAATCAGGAATACATAATGGGCTTGGATTTACAACATTATGAATGAAATGTGCTCTATTTGGAAGCAGCCGCCCCCCTCCCCTTTCAACGGGTTGTGTGTGAGACTTTAATCATCAAACTGTAAATTATAAATTTTCAATTGTTATTGATCCCTTTACCCCTAGTCCTAAAGTGTATATTTATTTTCTTACTCTTCTTATATTTATTGTTTGTTTACTTGCACTGCTGTAACTGGAGCCTCGTCGTCTTGTCTCTCTATATACTGGACTGTATGTAGCAGAGATGACAATAAACAACCGCCCGTATCAAAAACCGCTACTGTGTATCAGTGATTATACCATTGACACATTGATAATGTTGATACTGCTGTCATTTTCCCTGCTTCTGTTTATTTTTTGTTGTGCTCAGTAGCCCGTCCTCATCGTAAACCTACTCATGATCTTATCTCCTCAACTCCTCAAATAGGCACTCACTTCCACATTCTTTATTCTGTCAGGTAGAGCTCCTTGTGTGTCACCCGCCTTCAAAAACTATTGAGCTGCACCGGAAAGTCATCTTGCAGGTAAAATATATATAAATAAATAAAAGAATGTCCTTTTTAAAGGTGTTTAGTAGTAACCAGATATGTAAACTCTGAGTCTTGGTGCTATCGTGTGGAAAGCAGCTATTTAACGTTTCATCTCTGAACCTGCTTTATTTTCATAATTTGCTGTAAGGTCTTGTCGTGGTGTATGAGGCATTAGTCACCAGTCATACTTTCACTTTATTTGTTTTTGTTATTCACAGTACACTGTGAATGTGCTTCTTGTTATTCTGTGAATACATTTCTTGTTTTTGCATATATTACCTACTTTAACTGCTGTGTGAGTGCAAAAGTTTGTTTCACCTCAAATGAATACATGTGCTCAAATGATAATAAAACTACGTAATTCTTTTTTTCCCTCTATCTCTAATTGATGCAAGAAATACTGTGAAGTCAAATCTGCTGGCACAACTTGCCCTCAATCTTCATCATTCTTCAGAGTATAAATCCTCTACACTATGTCGTCCAACCAATCATTCAAAAGCCAACATGAAGAAGCCTACATGTCTCTGATGCGAGGCATGAAGGAGCTGGACCTACAGGGACCCTGTGTTCCCAGTGACCTGTTGCTGATCGGAGACCATGCCTTTCCTTTAGCAATGAACAGCCGAGGTCAGGTGCTGATGGCTGCCTCTCTGTACGGCAGTGGAAGGATTGTGGTCCTGGGTCATGAGGGCTACTTGACAGCCTTTCCTGCTCTGGTAGAAAATGCTCTGACCTGGCTGAGAGGTGATGGCTCTGATAACCTCTCTGTAGGGGTGCACAGAAATGTCAGTGCAGTTGCTAATAGCCTCCAAAAATCCAGCTTCCAAGTAGAAGTTGTGGGAGCTTTCAGTGACAAACTGGGAGTTGGTGTTTATGTGACCGATGCCTACAGCGTGGGCTCAGACCCAGTGGAGCTTGTAGCATTTCTGAAAGCTGGAGGAGGGGTGCTGATAGCTGGGCAGGCGTGGAGTTGGGCTGCAGATCACCCCAAAGAGAACGCACTGCATCAGTTTGATGGGAATAAAGTGTCAGGAGTGGCAGGAATCTACTTCACTGAGCGTTGTGGTGAAGTGGAGAACCTGCCCGTCTACCCTCAGATCCCGTCCTCCTGGATGTCTGTGGTGTGAGTACATGCTATAACTATTTTAGATTCCATGTTAGTTTTTTTTAAACCCACAAGTTAACTATAACATGAAATAAATTGCAATCTACTATAGACTATATGTACAGTATTTTTACAGGAACTTGTTGATAATAACATTAAGAAAATCAATTTTATGTTGAAGTTTCATATTTATTGTTTTTATACATAGTCACTGGTAATAATTATACAACATGAATGCAATTCAAATTTTCATGGTGATAATCTTCCAAAAATGTAAAAAATACAATTACTTGTATGTTGGTTAATTGTTTTGTTAACATGCAAAGACTCATTTGAAAACGCAATTTGCACAATTATTCTTAACAGTGTCTCTCATTCCTGCCATGACTCTTCCACCTTTCAGCTTGGGTAAGGATTTTGAGGACGACTTGCAGTTCTTACTCCAGGGGGTTTCGGAGTTCCAGGTCCCGTCTAATTTAACTGCTTCGGAGGTTTTAGTCCATGGACCGCTAGCATTTCCCATCGCGACCACAGGTGATGGACGGGCGTTCCTGGCAGGAGGCTACTATGGACAGGGACGAGTGATTGTGGCTACACATGAAGGATTTCTGGGACTTGAGGTAAATTAGACATTTGTTATTTTCACTATATATATATTTTAGTATTGTATATTTCTGTCAGCACTTTGATGCTTACTGTAGATTTAGACCATCTGTGATGAGAGAATATAAAAGAACATTCTAACTGTTTGATGTCTGAGCCATCATTGGTGATAACCCTAACTCTGTATGAGGCACGACGCAGAGGTTAGAGATCGTTGTCTACTAATCTAAAGGCTTGTCTGTTGATCCCATGCTTCTTCAGTTTGGATGTTGCAGTATACTCGGCAAATACGCTGAACCCTAAGTTTCTTTTGATGTGTATAGTGTGAGTACCCGAGTCTGAGCATGGTGAATGTTGGTTAAACCATCAATGGTTAAAAAGGAAATGCTTCTGCTGTTCCGAGAAATCTTTTATACATCACATGTACACATGACTGCCTTTGTTCCTACTTTCCTTCCATTTTTTAGAGTATGGCTCCATTTTGGCAAAATGCCATTCACTGGTTGGATGAAGGCCGCAGAGGGGTTGTTGGTGTCATGAATATAGATGCTGCAATCAAAATTCTCAGCAAGTCAGGGCTGAAGTGTGAGAAGACAAAATTCAGGAAAGACCACAGCGTGTTTGTGTGTAAAGCGTATATCACTGAGCATTTGGAGGAAATCCAAAACTTTGTGGCAGAGGGAGGAGGCCTGCTGATTGGAGGACATGCCTGGTACTGGGCACAGACACATAGTGGGCAAAATCCACTTACAGAATTCTCAGGTATGAAAGTGCACAACCAATGCATCTGATTAGTGTGACATCTCCAACAATACACCAGAGTATTTTAAGTCAGATTTGTTTTAATGTCTTTCAGGAAACAAGATCTTAAATCAAATGGGATTGAGCCTGTTGGGAGCAACAATCAAAGGAGGAACATACAAATCTCTCGTACCCAGCCAGGCTATTAAGGACAGCTACCACTTCCGCCACCTTCTATACCGCTTTGCTGCTCATGTGACTGCAGGTGAAAAACTTAGCAAACATGAGGAGGGATGTCTGAAAAAGCTGGGCAACGACTGCAATGCCTACTTGCAGATGAAAGCCCATGACTGCTCCCACTACCGGCAAGTGTTGGCCACACTCACTGACTTATTAAAGAGGTCAGGCCTGCCACAGGTGAGTAGCTGCCCTTTATGGATGGGGTTTGTTGAGGGGTCGCTCGTCTGCCCTTTTTTTTGCAGATAGTGTCATAATGTGGGGAAATATCTAATAACATTCACCATTCACTTTCAAGGTGAGTGAAAAAAGCCCTGTAAAGAGTCCCAAAGACCACCTCCTCCTCGCTGTGGGTACCCAGGTATATAAGGTTTGCCCAGATCCCGATGCCCTCCTGCCCTATCTTATCAAGGACAACCCAATGATGCCTGTTGTCTATAACCACCGGATCAAGGTTGATGTTGATACAGCAGGTCAGATCTCACTGCTGTGTTCAAAAATGTGAATGTGGTTATTTGAATTTAGGTACAAATTTAAATTGTACAGCATCGTTCAGCATGATGCAGCAATGCCTGTTGTTCAGTGTCACACAGTATTAATACATGCACCTCTTTGTAGACACTGGAAACTGTGAAATACATTTTTTAAATGCATATTTTATACATGTAAACGTCCCTGACTGTCATCTTTTATAATTGTGTGTTTCAGATAAGGAAGAGTGGATCAGTACAGGTCTCTACCTCTCTCCTGGTATGAAGACCTACATCGCTATACCACCTCAGATTGTCAAAAAGAATTGGAAGGTAGAGCATATGAAGTCAATTGATTTTGAGTTCACTCAGAATGTTGCAACTTTGTTACCTAAAGATAGCAAGGTGCCAGAAACTGAAAAATTCCAGACACAAAACTTGTCTCTGGTGAATAGATACTGTAAGCTGTTTCAGGCCATTTAGTTGTTTAAACACAGAGCAGTCATTGCAATTTTTAGTTATTCCTTTTTACAGTGTTGCACACTTTGTGGTATTGCTTATATTATTATATTTTTGCTTGTATTATTGCTTATAATGCATTTTCCTTTTCTTCTGCAGATTCAGATAGGATGTCAAACTGATTCTCTGCACAAGAACGATGTCCTGAAGAGACCACCGTCTGTCCATGAGCGATTTCCTGTCACCTCAGAGATGATACAAGTCTGGAACCTTTGGGGAGGACTCATCTACCTGGTGGCCCCACCCAAAACACAAGTGAAGGGGTTGGAGGTCACAGCACAGATGGCTGTACCTGCTCCATATTATAAGACTGGTGAGTCTGCGGTAGATTGAACTTTAATATGTGTTTGCACTAGTGTGTACCTTTGTTTGTACTGGTCTAATAGACTATTTTTTAAACAGTCTATAATTTGAAGGGCTGAGGGCAGCATCTCCCAGGTAATAATCCAAAGCAATTTAATAGATCCACTACTCTCTGTTCTTTTCAGGTGTAACAACTGCAGCTGAGTGGTCGTCGCTGCGCACAGCTCCTTCACCCTGGGCAGAGTTGGAGTTTGAAAACATCATCCTCACCGTACCATCAGATGCTGTTCGAGGTCTGGAGCGCCCTGACAAGGTGGCTGCTCTGTGGGATGAAATCATGAGGGCCATTGCAGATCTGGCTGCCAAACCACACAAATTTCCCCGCAAGGAGCGCTTTGTGGCAGATGTGCAGATTTCTCACGGTAAGTGCATTTTGCCTCATGTTGTACAGTACACACCTGCCTATTATTTTCTTATCATACACTCAACAAAAATATAAATGCAACACTTTTGTTTTTGCTCCCATTCCCCATGGGATGGACGTAGAGACCTAAAATTCATTCCAGATACACAATATAACCATCCCTCCCAAACGGTGGTCACAAATCAGTCCAAATGTGTGGTAGTGGGCACATCTGC